TCTCTCTCTCTCTCTCTCTCTCTCTCACACACACACACACACACACACACACACACATACACACACATAATGTTAGATGCATGTATAGAATGTGTTTAGTGCAATCTATTTGCCAACTTTCCCAGTTAAATTTTTGTGGCTCTCCAACTTCCAGGAAAGAAAGAAAAAAAATGTCCTCTTCATTGCAAGTTTCCACTCCTCCGAAGTTAGGAAAAGATACTTATACTAGGAAAGATCTCAGTACTTTCAACCCAAAGACTTACTTCAGATATTTTGTTCTACAATTCATCAGATAAATAAAATTAATGGAATTTTCCATTTCCAAGTGTATTTTTTCAGTTTGCCAGTTGTTTCAACAAACAAGTATTTTTAAAAATATTTAAACTGGCAGCTGCAGAATATTTAAGAGAGGATATAAACTCTAGATCTGACTGATTAAACAGCAAATCAAAACATGAAAAAAATCCAGGGATTTACTCTAACTATAAATAACATGTAAATTTTAAATTTCAGATTTCAAAATAAGTGAAGGAAAGATTCCATCTATTCTATTATAAACATCTGACAACTGATAAGGGGAAAATGTATGTATTCACATTTCAGTTGCAAGAAAAATGTTGGCCTGTTTTTCTAAGAGAAACATATCTAACTATACTACTTTGTCCCTTAAAAATTTAATAACTTTATAATTTGCTGGTAACATTTTAAGCAGACTGGAATATCAAATTATACAACAGGAAAGCACCCATCAAAATTTAGTCAAGAAAAATTATATAAGCCTTCTTTTAACAGTTAAAAAATATATAAATGACTATGATTATTCTCTTTGCAGAAACAACTAATACAATCTTTATAAATCTGCCATGTATAAATATCTACACAAATAGATATAGAATGTAGATATGAAACACTAATAAGAGCCTGTTTTTGAACAGTGGCCTTGGAGAGCTAGTGAAGTGCCTAAAGTCAGTTCTAACATACTGGTCCAAGTTCCAAAATCTCAAGGAAGTGATTGTCCTTCATATTCAACTCAATTAATTTACACTTCAGCTCTGGAGAGAATTCTAAAATAAGATCTTGTTGATTTGACAGTGTTTCATGTTGAGGGACTAAATTGTGGAAAACTGAGATGGACCACCCACTGGATATAACTGGAAGTGATTTCTAGCTAAGGTCCTGTCAGTCAATTTTATGGGGCTGGATAGAAGACTCTCAGGTGTAGTGTAGAATGTTACTGTTTCTTAATTTTAAATCCTCAAATTTATGGCATTTTGCTAATGACCTGGGTATTCCTGACAGTCTATTGTATCTCAGGCCAAGATGGTTTGAATGGGACAGATTTTTCAATTGTACGTGGGCGGTCTCCTTGTTCATTGTGCTGCAAGTCAAGGTTGATTATCTGGGTGCAGTTTCCAGTCTCCTTTGGAAAGTGTCCAAGATGATTGTGAGTACATCCAGCACAAAGAGGTTATATCACTTGCCAGTTTCAACAGTTAGCTTAGGATTTTGTCCTCTTGAGTGCTGAGTTGCTGAGTTTAGGCAGTTTTTTATTTTTATTTATTTATTTATTTATTTATTTATTTATTTATTTATTTATTTATTTATTTATTTATTTTTAGTGTCCTTTTCCACAAAGGTATAGAGTGGTGAGAGAATCTGGCCTAGAAACCATTGAAGGAACCCCTCAGTTTATTATGCTGAAAATCAAGCATCCACAAACATTCTTCAAGTTATCAAGAAGTAGGCAAACTGTTCAGTGAACTTCCACTGAGAGTCAGAGTAGGAGGTTGACTGAACATCCGCTCTCTGCTGTGAGAGTCTGCAATTTGTTACTGTATAAATAAAGTTCTATCAATTGAGTCAACTCTTCGATTGATGGTGGATATATATATATCTTGGATAAATCCAAGCACACCGAGTTTCCTCCTGCCATTGTTAAGCTCCTTAATGGCTGGACTTTTTTTACAGCTCCAGGTGCTAGATTCAGCCATTGGATGGTATTGTCACCTGGAAAAACCACTCCTGGTTGGGCAGCACTGGAACCTCCTTTCCACCTCTGGCCTCTGCCTTTGGTTTGAAGTTCTTTTTCTTTGTTTTCTTTCTCAAAACCTCTAGGAGCTTTAGACTCCTTTTCTCTTTCCTTGGTGGATTGTACTTGGGGTCTTCCTCTGTAGAGTCTTTTTTCTTTGCCTAAACTATCACACATGGTGACTCAAGCTTAGACAGAATACTACATGAACCTATTGTGTTTGCCAGAGTTGGCAAGGCTGGAAAGATGGCCCAGAGGTTAAGAGCAGTGGCTGATTGATTTAGGGTTTGATTCCCAGCACCCACATGGCAGCTTACAACTGTCTGTAACTCTGGTTCCAGAGGATCCAATGCCCTCTTCTGACCTCTTTAAGCACTGCACATGTATTACCTACATACATATAGGCAAAAACACCCATACACATAAAATAAAAATAAATGAGTTAAAAAAAAAAAAGCATTGGCATAAGGAACTAATCTGCTTGGAGTCACACTCATCTATTGCATGTTGGATCTAAAAGTGCTATGGCCAATTCTGATAACTCATTCCAGCGTGGTACCAGGAGCTGGGGTCAGCGATTCATGACCCCTTCCCAAGTGCATTTCCTACAGTCCCAGGTGCATCCTTCATGCCTTTGACTTTGCCATAGCCCAGAGGCACCTGAACAGTCTACAGGAGGTTCCTAAGTCATGCCTCTGTTTCTCCCTCATTCTTGTAATTCCTTTCTCTTTCTGCCCCCACCCCGGCAGTCTTTGCTCCTGCTGAGAAGAGACAGGGCAAGACAGTTTTGTTCAAAATTGAGTAATGAACAGCCTCAATGCTTCTTCCTCCTCTGGACTCATAAAAATGCAAAGTAAAGTGCTTTTCTAAGGCTTTCAAATCTCTACTAAGTAAAAAGGAAGAAGCCATAGCCATAATAGGAGACACGTACGTGGATAGCTTCAGTGCTCAGACAATGTTTCAGTACCGGACCATTCGGGAGTCCTTGAAGTTTCAGATCCTCAAAGGTAAAAAGGACAAACTACTTTCATATCTCACCGACTGGTGAAAATCAGCACAGAAGATGGACAGTACCGAGGGTGGTGCTCAGGCTGTACCAAGGCCCCCGGTGACCGTCAGCTGTCCATCAGTAGGATTGCAGCTTTTTATGCGGGCTTGGAAGAGGACTTTGATTGGGATCATCGTGTTATTTTCTTCTGGTCACTATACTTTTTAGGAAAAAAAATGCATCTGGTACAGTGGAAGATGCTTCAGCTCTATGATTTCCCACGCGTAGGTCATAGTTTGACCGATTTTCAACTAAGCGCATGTCTAGAAATGTACTTCTTAGTTTACTATAGGTGGAACCCTAGGTTTTACTTTCTGTTTTATGTTTGCTTTTAGTTTTGCTTAAAGACGTACACATTCTTCTTTTAAAGCTTTGATTCTCAACCTGTGGGTCATGACTCCTTAGGGAGTCAAACCACCCTTTCACAGGGGTTACTGAATACCATCAGAAAATACAAATAAAACACAGACATTTACATTATGATTCATAACAGTAGCAAGATTATGGTTATGAGGTAGCAGCAAAAATAATTTTATAATTGGGGTTACCACAACATGAGGAACTGTATTAGAGGGTTGCAGCACTAGGAAGGTTGAGAACCACTGTTTTAAAAGTTCTTGGAGACTAGAGGCTGGAGAGAAGGCTCAGTGGTTAAGAGCACATAGTGCTCATGTAGAGGACCAAGCTCAGTTCCTAGTACTCACATCAGCTTTTGATGTAGCTTTTTGATGTAGCTTCTGCTCCAGGGGATCAAACATCTTCTGGCATCTGTGGGTACCTGCCCCCATGCACAACCCTCTCCCTTACAAACATTCCCATAATTGAAGGCTTGAAACTTTTTTATACTTCTTTTGCTGTTGAGTAACGTGTTGATGAACTGTGTTTTAATCCAGACCTTCTAGCATCTTGTAGTTAAAGCTTTAGTGGAGGATATGTTTGAAAGATTTGGCCACTGGATACTTTTTAGTTTTTAGGTGATTTCTAATAAATAATTTAACAAGTTTTATAGCTCAACTTTTTATTACAACCTCATCTTTTTTCTCAACAGTTTGGAAACTTCAGCGGTCAGATTCCGGGGATGCAGATGCACATGGGGCAGCCAATGCCAGGGGCAGGTCCCAATATGTTCTCTGGCGGTTACCCTGGGTACCTGGCGTACTCTGACAGCTACTCCCCTGCTGACGACTCTATGTGGACTTACTTCACAGCTGTTGCTGGACAGGTGAGGTGACAAATCTTTTACCAAATACTAGTCAATAAATGATCACTATTTCAAAGATGTGCCAACTGCTTCCACTTTGTGTATCATTTAAAATGTTTATAATGCTTATGTCTGAAACTTATGTAGGATCATAGTGTTCTTGAGATCAAAGATGAGGGTAGTCATAATTGCCTCATTTTTTTTTAACTTGTATTGAGTTTGCTCTTGATAATTTCACACGCGAGCAATGTGCATTCATATCATATAACCCCCGTCGTCTCTCCCATTACCTTTCCATCTTCCCTACAAGTCCCCTTCCCGCCTGCATGTCCTCCGTTGTTGTCATTATTTGTTTTTGTTGTGAGATGCACTGACTTTAGTTAGGACCATCGGTTTCACTGTTAGACGTCTGTAAGCATGCTGGCTAGAGTACTGCTCATTTGACTGACAGGGGCAGCGACCTCAAAGGGGGTGGATCTGAATCTTCCTTACTGTGTGCTTACTGTGATGACTGGGTATGGCTTGTCTCATTCAAGTTCATGCTAAAGTGTAATTGCAAATATAATTCTATTGAGCAACAGTGGAGTCCTTCAATTTGATTCTAAGGGTCCCATCCTCATGGCAGGATGAATGGGATTCCACTAGATGGCTTGAAAGCAAGCAACTCACCTCCCTCTTTCTTCTTGAGCAAATGCTTTTGTTCTTTAGACAATGCCTCCCTCTTATGCTTACCTGCTACACACAGAAAAGCATGTGACACTCTCCAGAAACTGCCAGTACCTTCCTGGCTTCCAAAACTGTGAGCCAAACTCAACTTGTTTCCTCTCTAAATGTGCCAGTTTTGAGTGTTCGGTTATAGCTACGGACAATGGAATATATGACGTTTCTCTGAAATTCTTTAACAAAGATCTTATCTTACTAGTAGTAAATAATTACACCCCAAATTAAATGTTTTTAGTATTTACTGACTGTCTTATTTTGAATTATGTTTTCTTAAAGATTTGTTGATTTTTAATTGTGTGTGTGTGTGTGTGTGTGTGTGTGTGTGTGTGTGTGTGTGTGTCTGCACATGAATGAGGGTACCCAGGGAGTTCAGAGGCTTCTCATCAACTGGAATCAAGAGTGACAGGTAGGGAAGTGTGAGCCCCGTGACTGAATTCTGGAAATGAGACTTTGGTCCTCTGGAAAAGCAGTAAGAGCTTATCACCATCAAGTTATCTTTCCAGGCCTGCTGAATTATATTTTTATTTCCAAATAAATTCCTTCATTATGTTTCACACTGGGACACACTTTACTCTCCTTAACTGACTTTATAATACAAAACTAAGTCAATTTATGAAAGAAAAGGATGAATTCTCACACTTTGAATACAAGGAAGTTTTAGAGCTGTGAGTTAATAATCAAAGGAACAATATTTTCAGCGTTGGCACCAATTCCATTAAATGTAAATGCATGTATCTCACTTAAAATGTAAGTATGTCTAATGATGTGATAGGAAATCAGTCCCACTGTCATGCATTTATTCAAATTGAGAAATTGCATGTGTTCTCACAGATGAAGTTATATCATTTTTAGTAATATATGGTTTAAGACGATGGCACGTTTTCTACAGAGATTATCAAAATGATCATGTTGAGACATTTTCTAATTTTTCTTAATACAAAAACAATGAAAGCAAATGTTTCCTTAAATGGTGCGCTGTGCTGTTAGCATGTCAGCCTCTAATGCATTTGAGTAAATATTGCAAACCGGCTTTATTATGACCACAGAGCAGTTTCTAGTCTGCTAATTCAGGTCTACGACTTCATATGAGCTGTTATTGACAATATGTGACCACAGTTGTTGGGAAGCTTTGCTTTTACTCTTACCACTAATACATTAATTTTTATTGCAGTTTATTCTTACTAAGTACTTTTATACGCACTCTCCTATAAAATTTGAAGTGAAATAAAAAACGTATGCATCTGCTATGGTTCGAATGCAAACACCCTCACAGGCTCATGCATTTGTATGTTTGGTCCCCTGCTTATGGTGCTGCTTTGAAGGTAATGGACATGGATGTAGACACAGGACCAGAGGAGTGGGCCTTGACAGGTACAGACCAGGTCTGCTGCCCAAAGCTTTCCACTTCCTGATTCGTTTAGATGTAAGAGCCACACTACAACCTCCTGTGTCACGAATGCAGCCCAAGTCAACATGCCTTCCTGACCATGAGGGACCCTGTCTATTTAAACTGTGAATCAAAGTGAAACCTCTCATTTTTTTAAAGTAGTATTGAGGCATAGAAATGAAGTAATCCATACAGTATTACACTTACTGGTATTAGTTTTGACTGCATGTGGTATGAAAGAAATGTTTAAAAAATATTTAGAGTTAGAAAATTAACAGCTGTAATTTTATGCATATTTATAACATGGACCTATATACACACACACATATAAAACCACAATTGTATTTTATATATGGATACATATGTGTATATATAATCACCTTTATTTTATATAAATACATGCCTGTGTTTCCATCCATGTTTTCTGGCTCATAAATCCGTGTCCTAGTCAGACATAGAAGTTAGAATTTCAAGTAGAAAAAAATAGGCAGATCATAGAAACCCAGCCTTGCTGGGCGGTGGTGGCGCACGCCTTTAATCCTAGCACTCGGGAGGCAAAGCCAGGCGGATCTCTGTGAGTTCAAGGCCAGCCTGGGCTACAGAGTGAGTTCCAGGACAGGCTCCAAAGCTACACAGAGAAACCCTGTCTTGAAAAACCAAAAAAAAAAAAAAAAAAAAGAAAAGAAAAGAAACCCAGTCTTACCCTGCTTTTAGATTGCCATAAAGAAATTCCCTATCTACCTTATTTTGTATGGTGATTTGTCACAACAGTTTGTATGGTGAGTTGTCAGAACAGTTCTGCTGTGTGATGCAGATGGATGCAGTGAATATGTGAGAACAAAGGAATATGTCTCTCTCTAAACTGAGATGCAAAATATTAAATAATCTGTTTCTTCCAAGTATCACTTGAATCAAATTTCCAAACTTTTATTTTTCCTATTATCTTCTTTTGGCCCTTGTCAAAAATGCATCAAAAGTTTTCTGGTAGACTGTTCCATTGGGAATGCATGCTACAATACGAAACATACTATAATAATATATTTTGTATATATAAGTGGATCTTAAAAATTATAAAGTCACAGTCATGCCTTACTTGACAATAGTATTGTGCTCTGGAATATTAGGCAGCAGAAAGAGCAGAGGATGAGACTAGATGCCCACAGTCACTTTGAGAGAATGCCACAGTGACCAAGGACCTTACCGTAGGTCCCACCTTCTCTATTTCCATCTGCCTGGGGACCAGAGCATTAGCACTTCACCTCTGGTAGACATTCACCCCAAATACATACTAGGTGGCAGGAATTTTCCAATTCCATTGTGATCTTCGGGGCCTCTGCCTTGCATGTGGTCCATTCTTGACTGAAACTGTGTTGTGGCAAAGGACTACATTACTACAGTAGTATGATTCTTCTATTTAAAAAATAGACATTTGAAATAAAAGAGCAAGGAATCTAAAGGCTGATTCTCAGATTCAGGGTATGGTAAAGATAGTTGTGCTGGTAGTTGTATGTCAACTTGACACAACCTAGAGTTATCTGATAGAAGGGAACTTCAAATGCCTCCATAAGATCCAACTGGAGGGCATTTTCTTAATTAGTCATTGATATGGGAAGGCCCAGCTTGTGGTATGCGGTGCCATCCTTGGGCTGGTGTTCCTGGGTTTTATAAGAAAACAGGTTGAATAATCCATTAAAAAGCAAGTCAGGCCGGGCGGTGGTGGCGCACGCCTTTAATCCCAGCACTCGGGAGGCAGAGGCAGGCGGATCTCTGTGAGTTCGAGGCCAGCCTGGGCTACC